CTTGAATTCTAACTTCCACCAGTTCACAGCATAGTACTACCACTAGCCAATGTCCTTGGCAGCTAGTATTTGTCCTCACACCCGACCTGTTGCACCCTACTGGTTACGGCTTCCCACTAGAACCACAGGTCACTGGTCACTAGTGAGCATCTCATTGATTTTCAAGTCGAATGTGAGGACAAATACTCACCGAAGACATTTGCTAGCGGTCGCGCTATGTTGTGAATTGGCAGAAGTTGGAATTCATGGGCTGGCTGCCCACTGAAAATGTCTTCTCTTTTTCATATGACTCAATGGGGATTTTCAATCTACTCAAACGTTGCAAGGACCCAGTGACGGTGAAGGAGCTGGATGGTTTCCTGCGTTACTCCGTCAAGCTTGCGGTAGCGAAGACAAAGATTGATTTCTTAAGAGATTGTATAGATCGACATGAGTATCCAAAGATGTATTGGAAGTCACTGAGACGCAACCACATCCAACCGAATACCAGAACACTCAGACGACACACACGAAACAACATCGACTCCATTCAATCACGCGTCCCTGAGCTAGAGCGAAACGTCTACTCAAGAGCTCATGCAGTCGAAGACTTAGATCAAGAACTACGCCATTCCTTCGAAGAATGTGTACAACAAGTCACTCAGAAAGAATGTAACAAGACTAAAGCAGATCTTCTCAAAAGCCTAAAGCCCACAATTAATACCGAATCTCCGTTCCCAAGCAATCCAGAAAAGTACGTATTCAATCTTTCAGACATCACACTGTCTACTACTCAACTAGAGGCACTATCTCTAGGTCCAAAATTCTGCGTAAAACCACCAAGTATTGACAAGCTACAATGCAAGGTTCAGTTCGAAAATCTAATAAACCAGACTTACGATCTCACACCTACATCGGACGAAAACCTACAACAACTCAAAGCAGCAATCCTCGACTGTTGTCACAAGTTTATAAATACCAAACACAACGGAAGGTCCATCTTGACGAAGAGGCACCATAAGGAGCTGAAAGAACTTATGAAAAATGAAGAGATTATGATATTACGTCCTGATAAAGGCGGAGGAATCGTAATCATGAATCGCAAGGACTATATCAGTAAAATGCTGACTATACTATCCGATGAATGCAAATTCACAAAACCGATCAACGAGAAAAACATGACTGAACAAACCGAACAAAAGGTAACGGACACCCTTCGTAAGTTGAAGACTGAATCCTTCATCAGCAACGAAATGTTCGAATCCCTTAGACCGTCTGGCTCAAATATACCACGACTTTACGGACTTCCGAAAGTACACAAGAAGGGTATCCCTCTTCGACCGATCCTCGACATGACCAATTCACCCTATCACCGCACAGCTCAGTGGTTAGCAGATCTACTTGAACCAATCAGAAAACAAGTTTCCTGCCACACAGTTCGAGATTCATTCGACTTTATTGACTCAATCGAAAACAATAACGTATCCAACAAGACAATGATTTCATTAGATGTCACATCACTATTCACAAACGTTCCACTGACTGAAACAATATGCTATATATGCGAACTTATTCACTCCAAAGGAATAAACATCGGTATACCCACCGAGCATCTTAAAGAACTCCTACTGAGGTGTACCCTGAATGTTCAATTCTCTTTCAACTACGAAATATATCGCCAAAAGGATGGTATAGCTATGGGCTCACCACTAGGCCCTTTGCTTGCAGATTTCTTCATGGCAAAACTCGAAAACACATGCCTGAAGAAAATGATCAATACCTTCGAAATCTATAAAAGATACGTCGACGACACCTTCATTATAGTCAACAACGAAGAAAATCTAGACGACATCTTGAAGTCTTTTAACAACTGCCACCCTGCAATTCAGTTCACGATGGAGAAAGAGTCCAACTCCACAATATCTTTTCTTGACGTCCAACTAACCAGAAGAGAACAGGACGGAACACTGAGAAGATCTATCCACAGAAAATCGACGTGGAACGGACAGCTTTCTAACTTTCACAGTTGGGTACCACTATACACCAAACGAAACCTGATCCGTTCACTCAGCTACAGAGTTCGCAGAATCTGCACCCCGGACACCGTAGAAGATGAACTGGACAACCTCAAGAGAATCCTCGTCGAGAATTGCTATCCAGAAAGATTTATTGCAAAATCTATGAATCCTAGACCAGAAAAGCCGCCCATACTTAGCGTCAAGAAAAAACTACTCTACATGAACCTCCAATTCAATGGAGATCTATCTGCGGAAACACAAAAAAATCGACTGTCGCGCTCACTTAAGAAGACCTTCTTCGCAGCTGAACTACGACTAACCTTCTCCACAAAACCTATGATTCATGTGAACGTGAAGGATAAGCTACCGCTGCTGGCCTCATCAATGTGCATTTATCAATTCACCTGCTCGTGTGGAGCCAGGTATGTCGGCCGTACCCAGCGCTCGCTTTCCAAACGTATCACCGAGCACTTACCAGCATGGTTTTACAAAGGAGAAAATCGATGACCCCGCAGTTCCATCTTAGAACATCTGATAGAATCCGGACACCAAGCTACACCGCAAACAAACTTCAAAGTCGTCTACAGAGTAAGAGGTGGTCTCCCTACAGGTGTACAAATCAGACTTCTTCAAACTGCAGAAGCAATGACGATTCACTTGCTAAGTCCTGAACTCTGCATACAGAAGAAGTTCGTTCAATCACTACACTTGCAATGGACGTAATCTATCTTATTAGCCGACATGTAAATTCTACCTAACCTTTTTTTCTTTTTTTCTGTCCTTTCATTAGTATTATTTTGTCTTCTCAATTGTAATATTTTACATTTTCAACTTTCTTGTTCTCTACCCCCACCCGATTCAATCTCTACACCCCACTACCACTGTTACTGACTTGAACAACGCTCAGTTTCTAGTCATTCATGTTACGTCATCCAACTTATTCACTCAATTTCACTTCTACTTAATCTCTACCTGTAATTACCTCTGTTGCTATCCTGACCTAAGTTGTAACATTTTAGCCAATTATATTACGTCATCTAGTTTTTTAACTCAGTCTTACTTTAGTTGCTGTCTGATTAACTTTGTCTCTATACTACATCATTCTTGTATTAACTAATCAATTATCTAAACTTGACAAACCTCATGTACACACACACACAAATATTTATATATAAATGTGATTGTACAGCTATGTGAATGAATTCGCCGAAAAGAGTCTCTTCGCTGAATGTCTTCTCTTTTTCAGATTTCGATTGTCAGTAGAGTTCAAAATCACAGCATTTTCGTTAATTAGTCTTTTAATTTGAAAATTCACTATATAAAAACATTAGTTTATGTACAGCCTCTTAGCGATGCAGGCAACAAACTGCTACGACGCATTTTAATGATAAGCTCGTGCTTATTGAGACATTTTCCTGGTCAGCAGTTTCATTGATTGACGGAACAAAGACATTATTCAGATTACAGAGAACATTTATATCAACCCCAGAGAAAATGCACAAAGCACTGATGTTTATTTGAAGTACTGCTGAACAAAGGGCAGCTAAATTCATCACAGTGGGTCTGAAAAGTAAAGTTACTGAAAATTTTCACAGATTAATGTTACACTCTACTGGTGCTATATAAAAAGGATAATTGGTTTTATTTGATCTAACGAGAGTTACTATTTCATACAAGAATTCCCTCTTATAAATTTGAGCAGAGAAAGAACAAACACTGGTGCAGAATAACATGGATTCGTTGCTATTTCGTTCGTTCTCATCAACTACATACAATCTATAATCGTTAATAAATAAAGGTCAGAGTAAAATTTAACATGCCTTTGGTCATCAACAAGCCTACGAACGAACGCTGATGGAAACGCTTTTCTCTAGAGCGAAAAGAATATGTTCACCTGATAAATTAGACCGTGAACTAATATGTCGCTTGAGAATTGCTTGGAAGAAAATGGTTATTCACAAAGTTTCATTGACAGAGAGATATGGTAAGAATGAACGTAGGAAACCTGATCAGCCTACGTTTAGCAAGAGGCCGGTTTTCATCGAACTCGGCTTCAAAGGTGATGATATTATGAGAATCAGTGAAATTAGTCTCTCTGCTTCGGACATCAACCTCGTTGATGCAGTCAAAGATCGAAAAGTGCCTTTCTCATCATATCTTATCTCCAACTGCATATACCAATTCACATGTATCTGCAGGAGCGGTTACATTGGAAGAATAGAAAGAAGAGCCTACGTCAGATTCTTCGAACATGTACCAAGGAAATTACGGTTAAAGTGGCTAAGTAGTTTAAGCTCTTCAATTACCGAACACCTGATAGACACTGGACACCAAGTAGATGCGCTAGCATCATTCAGAATAATTAACAAGCAAAACAACTGAAGTCTTCTTCGATTTGCTGAAGTTATAGCAAGAAAACGGCTGAAACCTAACCTATGCATCCAAAAGGAATCTGTTGTTGAACTCCAATTTCTCTGGTGACTCATCCCATAATAACTCCTGGTCTTCATTAACTTATCTTTTCAATGCCACCCGCTCTCGCCTCGTTTCTTTTGTTTGACTTCCATAAGAGATAATTTTCTTTGGCCTCATGAGTTCTACTCACCATATTGCATCATCATCTCTTCATCTGACCTCTTGCACACCAAATTTTGATCTTTTCTAATCTAACTATGTAAATGTTACTAATATTTTGTTACCACCCTAACAACAAACTTGTCAGTTAATTTTCTAGAAACTTCTCTCTAACAAGATATATATATATACACTTCAGCTACCTTGTCATCCTGATATTTTACCTCACCATAACACTCTTATAATATGCTTGGTGGTGACAAAAGTATGTTAACTTTTAGGCTGACTTTTATTTATTAAAGATTACAGGTTGTATGCAGCTGATGAGAACCAACGAAATAGAAATGGATCCATGTTATTCTGCAACAGTGTTCGTTCTTTCTCTGCTTGAAAATTACTATAGTGGAAACAAGCATTAACCACACTTACCGTTGTCATGGTGGATAATAAATAATCCTTGATAATTGGACCATATTGCTTTTTCATTCTTTCTGTTACCACAACAAGTAAATCAACTGTATGCGGTTCTACATATTCAAAACTTAATATTGGATTCTTATTTTTATCTTCATTGACTTGTTTATCTACACCAGGAAGTGGGAATTCATCTGCTGAGGATCTTGACATTTCATAGATTGATCCTGAAACAGACACTGGTTTCGATGCTGTAACTAATGCTGATGGATGATCGACTACAAGTATGCGTTTTTGATCCATTCGTAGTGTATGACTATGTCCGTGTAAATTAAGAGTATTTTTTGTTCTGTTTTTATGCGCATAAGCAGGAGATGGTGTCTTCACGTATATTCTGGAATGTTTACCTGAAAAATACCTGGAATTGTTCATTCGATACGTAATATGCGAGGTAAGCATCATTGAAGTTAGTTCGTATGGATTTTGAGACGGTTGGTAAACTAAAAAAGAAAAGCAGAACAAAACAGTAAGCATTATTCCATGAGAGGATTTATTTTCGCGTAAAATTGAAAGGCGAATAGATACTAAAATAGCAGAGAAATCATCTGATGAGATGTTAATTGGGTTCTGATTGGAGCATAGGGTGTAAATAGCATGTCTGCATTTCAACCTATTCTCTGAATTCCTCTTTAGCTGGCCCCACAGTTGTCCATAAATTTTCCTCCCATCCATACCATCATAACACCGAATTTATAAGACATTAAAAAAAATCGTCTGTGAATCCCATACCATCTAGAGTCTTCTTCTTATAGACCTAACGTATTTCTGTCTTCTCACACACAACTCACAGTCTGACGTATAATCCAGTCAGTCCATCACATTTAAGGCAGGCAGCCTTATCTTACTCCTGTACTCAGTTGAGAGGCTTCGCCGAGTTTTCCGTTGTGGATCACCTGAGATGTGGCTCTCTCATATAGCTGTTGGATGAGGCTGATCAAGATTTGGGCACTGCACACCATTGTGTTAAAGTAGTTTCTAAATTACTTCATGGTCACTCCTGTTGAAGGCCTTTTAAAAGTCGATGAAGTTGAAGTAGAGGTTTGACTGCCATTGTATGCTCTGTTCTATGGGCAGAAAATTATTCCGCCCATGATTTGCTTTTCCTGAAACCAGCTTGTTCTGGCTGGTGGAGTTCTGCATCCAGTGCATCTTCTATTCTCTCCAGGATGACGCGACATAATATTTTGCTTGACATGTAAAAGAGCATCATTCCGCGTCAGTTCTTGAAATGGTTTAACTCACTCTTATTTGGCAAGGTAGCCTTTCTTACAATCAGTAGGTAGCTTTTCTTCCTTCCAAACTGCTTGCAATAGTGTTGTCCATATATTTGCCGAGGTCTTTGGTTCCGCTTTCAGTACTTCAGGAGGAATCCCATCCAACCTTTCCAGTTGGCCTTCAATCGCTTGACTGCATTCAAAACATTGCTTTTTGGAGGATTGATATCCGCTGGCAGTTAGATGGCTTCTTGATATAAGTATAAAAGATGGCTTCTGTTGGTGGTATATCTGAACGAGTTGCAGGTGATGGTTGGTTCAGAAGTCCTATGAAGTGATAAGTTCATTGTTTTCTCCTCTTTTGTGAGTGGTGCAAGGGATTAAACCGATAAATGCCTGGTCTAAACCTCAAAAGGACTACTAAGAAGTAGAAGGGAACATTCAGAGTATAATTAATATACATTTGCTGACAACCATTCAAATTGTCTGATATCTATTCATTTATAATCCTTTTTTAATGTTACCATAAGTGTGAGGTTCATTCACTTATGTAATGGTAAGGTAATACAATAATGTTAGATTTTCCAACTTAGATAAACAGTATACTATTAGAGAAGGCCATGAGATCAAATATTAAAATTCAATTCACACCTCTTCTTATATGATGAATATTTAAAGCTATTTGGTATTTTGTTAGTAAGGAATGTCTTAAACTCCATAGTGCTTTGATTCCATTTCAGATTCGAACACACTCAGAGAAGCACCCAGTACAGAAACTTGTCCTTTGGGCTTCTGTAGATCAGCGGGCGACTGGAGAGCACTACTCTCAAAGGACAAGATGTCGCATCTGACCACTTCTATGTGTATATATTAGTTCACCTGTTGCTGTACAGCCAGGTACATCAGTCGTTTGACGGGCATCCTGTCAAAAAGGGTTAAAGAATACTACACAGCATGGCTGCAGAAAGGAAGTAGTGGCCGTATAAGGAGTGCGATAATCGAACATCTCGTCACCACTGGTCATTCTATCTGAACAAACGCCTCCTGCTTCAAAGTAATCTACAAAATGAAGAACAACCTGCCAAAGACAATACCCTTCCGTCTTCTTTGCATTGCAGAAGTCCTAGTCATTCAGTTAGATGAAGCAAAACTCTGCATACAAAGTATTCAGCCATTTCTGCTATCATAGTAACAACTCTGTTGATTTGACTTAACTTTTGTTTGTTTGCTTGTTTTTTTCTAACTACTTGAAACTCTTACGTAATTCCGTATTTTATTTTGTTTCCATGTACACCTTGAGAACAACTCTTTCATCAAACTCTCTTCACGTTATTACGTAACTGATATTTAACAATCGTTTTGTTACTACCCTCTTATATCAACATCCAATTCATCTGAACTTACTAATTGTACTTTCGTTTGGCAAATTTAATGTACACACACAACACATACAAAACAACCATATATATATTTGCGATTGTACAGCTATGAAAATGAATTCACCGCCGAAAAGAGACTCTTCACTGAACTACTGGTATTCTGTCTATCAATGTTCGAATGGTGATTTTTCATGATTATTATTATTATATCCTTTATTTCCTAGAGGAACATAGGGCTTCAGCCGTGCATCTCCAATGAGTTCGGTTCTCTGCTAGAGTCTTCACATGGCTCCATGTCTGCCCACACGTTTTTATCTCCTCTTCACATGACCTCCTCCAAGTCACCCTCACACTGACGACCAACTCACCGCTTCCCTTTCGGGTTCCACTCGAGCGATGGCTTGTCTAATGATGTCACTTGATGGTTTCCTCAGAGTATGGCCAATCCACCTCCATTTCTTCCTGTCTATTTCTTTCACAATCGGTTCCTGGTCGGTTCCCTCATTGCCAGAGATCTCTGTTGCTGATATTTTCTGGACATCTGATCTTGAGTATTGAGCGAAGACAATTGTTATTGAAAGTCTGTAGTCTGTTTGAGATGCTCTTTATGACGCGCAGTTCAAGTCTCTGATCCGTATAGTAGTACTGACTTTACATTGGAGTGGAAAATCCGGATCTTATTTTTGATGCTGAGTGTTGTTGACCTCCACACAGACTTGAGAGTAGTGAAAGCTTGTCTTGCTTTCCCGATTCTTGCTTTGATATCCTCGTCAGTTCCGCCTGTAGTTGAAACGATGCTTCCCAGGTAGTTATTAGGTGAAGAAGGTTGTTTCTTTCAGGTTCCTTCCGTCTATGCTGATTGTTGTCTGTTGTTGTTGCTGTTGGTGGTGTTGCGCAGGAATCTTCATCACCTCTATTTTATCTATGTTCACCTGAAGTCCTATCTTTGATTTTTCATGAATTAAAACAAAATCATCAATCATCCATTGTCTACTTGAATGTTTGATAATATACTTAAGAGCTGAATCGCACATGACGACTTATTCAATCTTTCATGATTCAACTTTGTTACGTAATAAAACAAGATACCAGATATCTTCATAACAACGGTTGTAACAGTCCGAATATATTTTAAAAAAAAGCAAATTGTGTACACACAGCAAAAACAATTATTAGTCACTCAAGTCCTTTTTTATAATCCAGCAAAAAAAATTAGTGTAAAAACATAGCCATCTTTCAAGTTTTTGCGAAGCGACACTACTGATATTTGTCATTACACGCTTATTCATCTGTCTAAAAGTGTAGCATTTCTGTCTACTAACTACTACTGGGGATTTGTAAGCGACAAAATGTAAAAACCATTTTAAACTACCAGCCATTTTAAGCTTTACATTGTCATTGAATGCAATTAGTAAATAATATATATATATATATATATAATACAGTGTGAGTGACTCAGTTCCTCTATTCTTTACTTTTTTCTACACTGAAAGGTTTATTTTGTCTGAAAGAAAAAAAATTAAGTTCAAAGTAAAAACTTTTAGACAAAAACAAGAGAAAAAAGATAATAAAAGGAAAGGAGGTTTTACAAATTAGAACTAAAAAAACAAAAACAACTACATGGTGGTTGGAAAAAAAAAGAAATCTTGTAACCAATCAATCAAATTCCTAAAAACCAATGCTTGAATATCAATGAGATGCTCACTAGCGACTGGCCGTATTCAGGCAGTTAATCTGGGATTCTAAGGGGAAGTCAAGACCAGTAGGATGCAGCGGGTTGGGTGTGAGGACAAATACTCGCTGCCATTGGCATTGCCTAGTGGTCGCACTATGCTGTGAATCGGTAGAAGTTATAATTCATGAGCTGGCCATTGGATCGGGCCCTGTTAGCTGAATGATCTACAAGCTCTTCTTGTAACCTAAACGTCCTGAGTTGAAACCGTTGTAGGTGCATACTGGTGAAGAGCCCCAAATGGAGACGAAACAGCTGTCCAGTACTCCCTATTGGCTTTCCAGTGATTCTCTACCTTGTGTCAACTCGTGATCAAACCTGATTCCAATTCATCATTTCTTAGCTGTAACGATGTTTTATTTACCAGCATTGATTTCAACTGTTTCATGCTATTTCAAATTTGTGATTCACTGCAGCACCACTACAACTGGCTAGCCAGCGCCACTGCTCGATATGAGAAGGCACCCAATTATTCATATCAACCAATCAGTGGGTGCATACTGATGAAGAATCCTAAACTAGGACGAAACAGCTGTCCAGTCCTCCCAGCAGGTTTTTCAATGGTTCTCTAACTGACGTCAGCTCATGATGAAACCCTCCAACCGACTTAATGTAACTGAAGAGATTAGCTTAGCAGTTTTTCTTTCCTATGAACCATAATTTTCTGAAGCAAACTGATGAAGTGAATAAAATGACCCTGTATTCAACTTACACGGATAGGCAACTTTTAACTGATCCAATTCATCCAAACTTGTCTTTTTAACAGAGCGAATTGTGTTCTCTCCTTGATCTTCAATGAATGCATCTTTGTATTGTTCGTTAGACTAAAATTCAAGTATAAATGCAATGTAATTAGTTATACGGAAAATAAGAATGGTAAATTGTATTAAAGCGTAATTATTGTAATTATTTCAAAAAAATCAAGGCAGACCAAGGTACTAGCAGTTCTTAGAAAGACCTTATTCTTGTAAATTCAGTTCCTAGGGGATAACATCAGCAAAATATTAACACAACGCCTTAGAAATGAGGTAAAAAAAGCATTCTCTGCTGCTAAATTACGTTGTGTCCACAAAACCACCCCTATTTTGCGTTCGAGAGTAAAAGATAAACTGCCTAATTTCGCCTCTTCTCTGTGTGTGTATCTACCAATTTAACTGCTCCTGTGGAGCCGGTTACATAGGCCGTACAATTAGGCGTGTTTCTCGTCAGATTTCCGAACATAACCTGCGTTGTCGGTTAAGTAAAGGACAAACAAAATCTATTCGTAGCGCTATTCTATCTCATCTTGTGGATACAGAACACAGGATTGATGTCAACGAGGCGGCTTTCAAAGTCATTTACCGCATACCAACAAATCTTAACTTCGCCTTAAGAGTTCGTTTACTAAATATTGCTGAGGCTGGATGTTGGGATCCACATTAAAAAGCCTAATTTATGCGTCCAAGTGAAGCTAGTTCAGACATTATCTTTACCTTGGCCATGTAGGTTCGAATGATCCTCAATTTGTTGTGAAAATTTCCTTAATTTTATTTGACATTCTATTTGCTCTTATATTTTTATTATTATTATTTATGCATTATTATTATTCCCTTGGGTTCAGAGTGGAACATAGGGCTTCAATAACACATCTCCACTTTCTTCTGTTTTCTGCTGTCCTCTTCAGTTGGGTCGACGAGTGACCAAATTCTCTCATCTCTTTCTCACACAATCTCCTCCATGTCACCCTCGCATCGACAACCAACACGTCGCTTCCCATTTGGATTCCACCCGAGCAATGGCCTAGCGTCCGATGTCATCCGGTGGCCTCTTCAATGATGTCCGATCCATCTCCACTTTGTCCTACGTATTTGTTGAGAAATCGGATCTTGGTTGGTTTGTTCGCAGAGTTTCTTGTTACTAATTCTTTCTGGCCATTTGATCTTCAGTATGGAACCAGCAAAGGTGGCAGCTGTTGATAAAAGTCTGCAGCCTGTTGGAAATCCTTTTCGTGACACGCAGTACAAGTTTCTGACCCGTATAGAAGCACTGGTTGACTTCACATTGGTGTTGAAAATCCGAATCTTTTTCCTTATGTAATTCCACTGATCTTACTTAAATCGATATTATTTAAAAAATACCGATATTGTTATTGACTACAATTCTAGAATATTTATATATATATATATATAATTGTAGATCCAGAAGAGGAAATTATCGAAAAGGATATTCTTCGCTCAATTATTTTGTTTCTTTCTAGATGTCTGAATGAATATTTTCGCTACATTGAAATAAATAAACATTTGACAAAAGATACCAAATGATACATAAAACAAGCAATTCATTAAGGGTTTTTAACGAGGTATAATCTTTAACCAAATACTGGACGTGAAGAACCTAGAAGACCTGGATTTCGCGGATGATTTATGTTTGATGTCACACAAAATCGAAGACTTACAAGCGAAAACCGACAAACTGGTCGAAGAAGCAGCAAAGACAGGACTCCAGGTGAACATAGACAAGACGGAGGTTATGAAAATAACCAACCAACAACAAAACAACAGCAGCAGCAACACCCAGCGCCAATCACCATCAACGGGAGGGATTTGAAAGAGGTTACTTCATTCACTTATCTAGGGAGCATTGTCTCAACTACAGGAGGAACGGACGAGGATGTCAAATCGAGAATCGGGAAGGCGAGAAACACATTCATCAACCTGAAACCAATCTGGAAATCTTCGTCACTCAGCATCAACAACAAAATTCGGATTTTCAATACAAACGTCAAGTCAGTCAGTTCTTCTATACGGATGGATCAGAAAATTGGCGGGTCACAAAGAATATTTCCAACAGCCTGTTGCAGACCTTTATCAACAACTGTCTTCGCTCTGTACTGAAGATCAGATGGCCGGAAAGAATCACCAACAAGAAACTATGGGAACAAACAAAGCAAGAACCAATCGCCCAACAAATATGCAGGAGAAAGTGGAGATGGATTGGACACTCGCTGAGGAGGCCGCTGGGTGACATCGCGCGTCAGGCCATCGCTCGAGTGGAACCCGAAAGGGAATCGGCGAGTGGGACGTCCAAGGGTGACATGGAGGAGATCGTGTGAAGAGGAGTTGAAACAGTATGGACTAACATGGATGCAGGTGAAAAGTACAGCAGAAGACAGAAGCAAGTGGAGACGTGTAGTTGAAGCCCTATGTTCCACTAGGAACCCAAGGGAACAATATTAATAATAAAAAATACTGGACTTATGCAATACTGTATTATTAAAAGTTGAAAAAGCGGAACTCTCAGATGAAATCTTCCCAACTTGTAATTTTCCCGAGTAAGGACAAATAATACAATAACTGAATAAATTGAAACTTGTTTTTTTAGTGAGTGACGTGGTGAGTGGTGGGAAGTTGGAAATGAATGTTTTCCTTCCCAAGATAATGATTAATCACGTTGTATTCTTCAAAAATCTTCTTGTTGTGTGGTTTTAATTTTCCCAAATCTATTCATATGAAGTTTTAAACTACATATGTATAAAGCATTAATGTATTTGAATTATACTTTTTTGAGGAAGTATATAGTGGGTTGTTACCGTGCCACTTCATCGCGATTCAAAGACTGTAATACAGAATAACATACCAGCTGATTGGTATTTTTAGTTCTTCAACTCAACATTCCACGCCTACTGAAACGTCAGTTTTGCAATCTGTCAATCAGACAAGGTGTGGAAATTGAAGTCTACCAAAATCTTTGAAAATTCTGGTTTCTGAAATGGTTTGTGCATTTTAGTTGAACAGATACGGTCGTTTGTTTCAAGGAAAAAAATAAGCCATTAATCTATATACTACTGACTGGCTGATTTGAGTAGTTGTATACCACCCATATCCATCCTATAGTGCTTAGCAGTTAGCTAGATCGAGGTGACCTAACACCGGAGGAATGTTTTTCTCTTTTGGAGCGGACCCGGTTCGATTTAGCTCAGAGAGGCTAATTAGTTCTGGATAGCTACTTGGATGAATTGGTGTTACCATAAATCGAATTGACAGTTCGCGAATTAGTTAGCAGTTAGCTATGTACACACTGCGAAGTGTGAGATATATGCCTGCTTCTTTGATCACCGTTTGTGATATCAAGCAGATCATATATTGTGGTCTGAATGCGCCAACTAAAATGAATAAACAGAATAACTTTTAGACAAAGCAATAAGAAGACGTAATTTGTCTGAATCCTGTGTGTAATGTATTTGCGCAACACATTTCGAACAATCTGATCACACATGGACTTTTCATAGGAATGAGTATATATGAAATTAATAAACAGTTAAGAGGTGAGAAAATAGATTTAGGTCAAGTTAAAAGGACGTATTGAAGGTCAAAATAACAATGAAGATCACTAAACCAAATAACAGAGGTAATAGTACATCTACCCTGGTATGTATCAAAACAAAGTTTACCAAGGAAGGTTTAGTGTGATGACGAATTGTTGCTTTGAACGCATAAAGGTGGTTTAAACTTTCTAATTGCCAGCTAGGGCTCCAACAAACTTTAGGATACACCCTCCCCCAAACACGTTTTATAGATAGGTTTACCAATTTGAATGTACGTGTGGACACACATACATAGGGAGGATCCATCGATCTCTGCAAGTAAGGGCTGGCTCCAGAGCATATTCCTAAATGGCTCAAGAAGCAAATAGAATCCCCAGAGCCTCATTAATGGTGAGAACAGGCGACCTAGCTCCTCTACTGCGAAACATATAATGGAGACAGAACATAAAATTGATGTTTGTTTTGATACATACCAGGGTAGATGTACTATTACCTCTGTTATTTGGTTTAGTGATCTTCATTGTTATTTTGACCTTCAATATGTCCTTTCAACTTGACCTAAATTTATTTTCTCACCCCTTAACTGTTTATTAACTTCATATGGAAAATTCCCATATTATGAAGTTTAAAGTCAATCTGAACGAAGAATATTCTTTTCAATAATTTCTCTTCAAGCTGTTACACTTATAAAATATAATATTTGTTGTCGTTACAATAATGGCCAGTTATGTGGCGGATACATTTTTAACGTAGAATAACATATTAGTTATGGTGTGTCAAAATAAATAGTCGTATTTGTGTGACAAACGTGCTACGCTGAAATCGATTACAAAATATTGTAAAATGGGAGACAATGGTGATTAATCATAATAGATTTGTAGAGGTTGGGGTAGGGCGATCAAGAAAACTTTCTACTCTGCACGTCTGTTTCTATCCTTCAGTAGCCGTCCAATGTTCACCCATCAACTCAAAGATGTCTTATCTGAGTTTAGTTCTTCTTCATGCATATACCATTTCAACTGTTCCTGTGGTTCAAGTTATATAGGGCGTACGATTAGGCAGCTTCGTCTACGGGTTCGAGAACATTTACCAGCTTGGTTCAGCAAGGGGGAAATTAAGTGCATAAAAAGCTCGATCCTGTCACACTTGGTCGATACTGGACATCGCATCGATGTCAACACCATTTTCAGGATTATGTACCGAATTCTGAAGTCGTTATCACGTACAATTCGCTTACGTCTGCTACACACAGCTGAAGCTGTTGCAATAAAATCGACTAAACCGGAACTTTGTATCCAAAAAGAACACTTCCAGACGCTGTTCCTACTGTGGCCAAACTTGGATTAATGATTCTTCTTCTCACCAGGAGTGCCTCTTCCCCTTAACCCTTTTGGATTTTTCCTTTGCTTATTATTACAAATATTATTATTAATATTATTATTCATCATAATTTACGCCCTTCATGCAAACATTCTCTCAATACTATCGAATTTTCCATTTATACTATCCGGACTTAGTATTAGTGATACTATCTCTTTTCTCAATATATGCTTCAACCTGTTTCATTTCACATATTCGTTATTTCATGATGAACCTCTCATTGCAGTCTTACTATCTCTTGTTTAATACAGACCACTTTGTACTAGCCACTCACCTGACATCTTTTATAACCTTCAACTGACTCGTCAGTTTTCCTACCCCACACTCTACAAATCTATTATGACTAACCACCATCATTGTCTCCCATTTTACAATATTTTGTAATCGATTTCAGTCTACCACGTTTGCTGCACAAATACGACTATTTATTTTGACACCCTATACATACTAATCTGTTATTCTACGTTTAAAAAATGTATCCACCGCATAACCAGCCATTATTGCAACGACAACAAATATTATATTTTATAATTGTAAGAACCTGAATAGGAGAAATTATTGAAAAGAATATTCTTCGTTCATACCTGACTTTTAACTTCATAT